CTTTATGTTTATATCCATTAAATTTCATCTTAATAGATTCAGTGCAGTTTTCTATCCTGTCACTATCATCTAATATGTCATCCCTTCCAGATTTGTATCATCTGCAAACTTAATAAACTCGCCATCCATGTTTTTACATAAGACATTTATAAAAATGTTAAACAGTATGGGGCCAGATATATGTTCCTAGATCACTCCACTGAAGGTGTCCTGCCAGCTTGACTTCGAGTCATCTCTGAGTTGGGCCATTCAAACAGTTGCAAAAACATTTATTTCTATTGTTGTCAAAGCTCCATCTCTCCATAATATTTTTTTTAAACGCCTTACTAAAATCTAGGTAAATGGTATCTACAGCATTCATCTTATTCACTGGTTCAGTAACCCTGTCAAAAAAGGAAATGAAGTTACTCTGGCATGACCAGCCTTGCTTGGATACAGCCATGTTGGCTCTTTGCGGTCACCACTTCCTTTTCCAGTACTCAGTAACCACCTTTTAATCACACATTCTAGAATTTTTCCAAGAATTAAAATTAGGTTCACTTGCCTATAGTTTTCAAATCATTTTCTTTTCTTTTTTTTTTTTTTGAAAGTCATGAAAACATTTCTCTTTCTTCAGGCCTGCAGGACCTCTCCCATTTCAAATATCACTGGCTGTAGGTCTTATACAGGGATAGTCAGGCCTCTCTTTCTTTTTTTCCCTCACTCCATATAGCCAAACTTGCCGAACTTTGTTGTCACTACATCCACATTACACCTCACTTCTGTTCCCTTCTCACTAGTCACCAAGCCACCAGTTTGATACAGGCCCTCATCACCTCTTTCCTAGACAATTGCAAAAGCCTCTTAATTGGTTTACCTGACTTTAAGTCTCTTCCCTACTCTAGTCCATATTCTATACAGCTTCCAAAGTGATTTTCCTTAAGCAGAGAATCTGACCAAGTCACTCCCCTACTCAATACACTTTAGGGGTTCCCTAATCTCCTATTTACCCTTTGCAGAAGGAGGGGTAAAGGGAGATTGCAAATCTTTATTCAAATTAAATTGGGTTTCTAATTTTCAGGATGACATGACAAATACCAGTTGTGTGCATTAGAATCTGTTTCACTTGGGAAAAATAATTAAGCTATAGCTTTTAAAGCTCTTTATAATCTGGTCCCAAACTCCATTTCCAGACTCATTATACTGTTTATCCTTCGCCTTCCTATACTCTACTATTCAGCAAAACTGGCCTTGCTTTTTTTCATATGAGATACTACAATAACTATGATAACTACCTATGTACCTTTAAACTGTCTTCAATGTCAAGAATGGACTCCCTTGTCCCTTCCTCCCTGTCAAATTTCTTTAAGATTTAGCTCAAGCTCAACTTTTATATAACCACTTCTGATCCCAAAGCTACCAAGGCTCTTCCTCCCTAAACTACCTCATATTTATTAATGACGTAATTCTGTATACCTTTGTATATGTATACATTGCCTCTTCTGATCAAATGCAAGCTCCTTGAGGGCAGGAACTGATCCATTTTTGTCTTTCTATCCCCTACACTAAGCATGTTACTACCACATAGTGTTAAATAACTGTTGATTCATTTATCAGTTATGTGACCTTCATAATGATCTTGGCCCTGAATTTTCTCATCTGTATAATGACAGGGTTTGAGTAGGGTCTCTTCCATCCTTGGATCTAGCATCCTACTATACTTATGGTTCTAGACAGCTCTAAATATCTACAACTTTAGGTTCTATTTTTCCAACATTTTTGTTTTCCTCCATATTTCTCTATATTTCAAAAGATGGAGAAGAAAGCTGTACATGGCACCTCACCAGGACTTTGACCAGTCAATCAATACTACAAATAGTAGGCAGATTAACTTATTATTTCATATCTTTATTCATGTGGCACATACTTATTGGATGATTCTTGTGGGTAAACCTGTGTTCTAGGTAATAGATCAATCAGCAGTATTTATAGGCTACTTATACAGTGGGATCTAGCCCATACTTAACACTAGAGAGAGGGCTAAAATTATGGTCACAAAAGACAGAATACTTTCCTTTTCCTTTCAAGAAGCTTATGGTCCTGTTGGAGAACTAGCATATATGCATGAAATTATATTAAGGCTAATACAAATGAAAATTTTGCAAAAGCAAACTGAGCTTATGAGTCCTGAGAGCATGCTGAATAGAAGAACAATGTAGTACAGTTAGCAAGAGAAGGGCTTCCTGGAATACATAAATTTGTAGCTGAATTTTGAAAAAGGCAGTGGCTATGAATTGCCAGAAAGAAGCTGGGAAAGAGAATTCCAAGTAGGAAGGATGGTAAATGGAACATATTCCTGTTAGTACATATAAATTTTATTTTGGAATTTTAAGTGGGATATTAATGACTCATGCTGTTAGTAGCCCAGTGATTTCATCTGTCAGAGTAATATTTTATCTCTTAAAGCAGTAGTATAATCACATTATATTCCACCTTTTTTTCGACTGACCATTTCTTTAATGGGTCAAGATCACTATGAATTGTATTCCTATCTTCTAAGAGGTTACTGCTTAATTTAGCTAGTGTTTCTCTTCAGATAGTGATCAAGCCTGAATAGTCTGTCATTTAAAACAACTGAACGAATATTTGAAAGAATTAAACACCAATCTGTGGTACCCCACTAAATATTTTTATCTGAGACCAATCCCTTAACATAGATCTCGCTATTCCCTGTGAATGAATTTCAAATCAGCATGTACATCACCTTCCTGGATTGTTGATTAGACTATATGGAACAGAATCAAATAACCTTGTTCAAATTATATATTTTTCAGCGTTATCCGGCATTTCAAAAGAAGAGTAGGAAACATCTTTAATAAGGGTTGAAAGGTCTAACTAGCCCACAAATAGGAACTGAAGCAAGTTAAGTGATCCTTTGGATATGCTAAAGAAGATAATATTCTTTTAGGTTTCCTATGTCTGCAAAACTTAAGAGATTTAAATATTTTTAAACATTCTATAAAATTGCAGTGTTAATTTTGGGCTAAATTTCAAAGTTGTGTATGTAGAATTAAGGGGCATGGTGGTTCTTGCCAGCAAGGCAGACTTCAACTTGGCATATGAAGTAGATTTGAATTGCAGCTTTGAAATTTCCTAGCTGTGTGACCTTTTGCAAGACACTTAACTTCTATGAGGCTCAGTTTCCTCTTCTGTAAAACAATTATAATCATATTTGTACTATCTATTTCACAGACGCCTGATCTATAAAGACTTTGAAAAACTCAAAAGATTATGTAAATCCTATTGTTATTACTTCACTTGATGCAGTGGATGGATTCCTGAAAAACTGTAAATTGAATTATATTTTAAGCACACTGTGAGATATACAGAACAGAAAGCTGGTTTTAGAGCCAAGAAGATACGAGTTCAAACTCTGCTTCTGACACTTACTGCCTATGTGATCTTGGGTAGATCACTTATTCTCTAAATGAGTATGAGCAAATTTCAAAGCCTCTTAGTTGCAGACAAGATGTAACCTGCATCAGCAGAAGGAATTTCTTTTTCCAAGAGTATGTGATAACAGTGAAATCACAGGTATAGTCTCTGTTGCCTTCATGTCCAAAGGGAGCTAGCTAAAGGATTCCTAAAATAATTTCAAAGTGAATTTAAAAAAAATTAGGTGAAGAATTAACTAAATTTTCATATTAGTTACTAAAAGTAAGCCTGAAGCCTACGCAAAGTATCTCATCCTAAATATACACAAATTACATGGATTTATGTGGTGATAAAGATAATTTCTCTGTTACAGTCCACTACCTGATCATTAGACTTTACTTTAGTCAGCCTTGTTATCTTAAATACATCTGTTAATAAGAGCTCAATTGTACTAGAGTATCAGGGTGGTGTGTCACGTTATGAGATTTCCTGTCCATGTTTTACTAGTATTGCTTCCCCCCTCCTTTGAGGGGAGGCAGAAGTTCATTCAGTTTGTTGGGAAGGCCTTCTTTTAGGTATCTTGACACTTCAGGAGGTCCAAGGGTTCACAGGCTGTCACTTATCCATTGTTTGATCAGCCCCCAAATACAAAGCATAAACTCTGTCTCTCTCTCTCTCTAGGGAATGAAGATTTTTTAAAAAATTATAGTAATAAGAAAGAAGTCAGCCTCAAGCAAGAAAGCAGAAAAAAAGTATACTATGCTTTCATGTTTAGTATTTTAATAACATTTAATATGGCAACAGTATTATGTAATTACAGAATTATAAGGGACCTAAATGACCATTTAGTCTAATCTCTACATGAAAAATACCTAATCCACAGGTGTTGAAACAGTCCCACAAAATTCAGGAATGGATCTTAACCAGATAAAAAGGTAATTGAAAACTGTTTAACAAAATAAATAATAATGGATGTTAGTCTATGGTTTCCTAAGTTAATATGAAGCCCATTTCTATTTGAGTTTGACATCATTGCACTCTGTGTCAATCAGCCTTTACTTGAAGATCATGAGTGTAAGGAGAACCCACTACCTAATAAAGCATTTCATTCCACTTTTAAGTAGTTTGGAGTTGTTAGGATGCTTTTCTTTAAATTAAGCCAAAATTTGTCTCTTAGCAGCTTCTAACCATTGTTACTCCTTCTTACCTCTGGGGCCAAGTAAAGCAGGTCTAATTCCTATTTTATTGTTGTTGTTGTTGAGTTATTTTCAGTTGCGTCTGACTCTAAGTGACTCCAGTTGGGGTTTTCTTGGCAAAGATACTGGAGTGATTTGTGATTTCCTTCTACGGCCCATTTTACAGATGAGGAAACTGAGGCAAACAGGGTTCAGGGACTTGCCTAGGGTCACACAGCTAGTTAAGTGTGTCAGAACAGATTTGATCTTAGGAATTTTAATCTTCCTAACTCCACGCCTGGTGCCCTATCCACTGTGCCACCTAGCTGCCCTCCCCAGCCCCTATTACAGTCTTTGAAATACTTGCAGACGGTAATCACATCCAGCTACATACATTCTTCCCTTCCCCAGTTCCTTCAATCTCGGGCCTTTCACTGTTGAGAATCTTCTTTTGGACATGTGCCAGCTTGCCAGTATCTTTCCTAAATGTGGAAAGCAAAACTGAACACAATAATCCAGACATTGCTCCTCAAAACAGGTAAAGTATACCTTATTTCTCTTCCTTTTGCCTTTGCTAAAATAGTCCAAGATGGTATCCTTCTTGGCTGATATTTCATACTGTTAATCATATTGAACCTGTGGTCTGCTAAAACTTCTTGATCTTTTTTTCAGATGAACTTCAGTGCCTTCCCTATTGGTACTTATAAAGATGATTTTTTCTGAACCCATGTGTATAATGTTATACTTATCCATATCAATTTCTGTTTTATACCATAATTCAATATCTGGTAGTACAAGTACTCCTTTCCTTTTTATTTCAGCTCCCCCTGACATTCTGGACCTTTTGTTCTTCCATGTGAATTTTCTTGATTTCCACCCCTCCTTTTTTCCAAATGCTAAGCATGATTTACCCATAATTGGAGGGTTCCTGTATCCTGTGATATTATATTCCATTACAATAGCCAATTCCCCATGCAGGGAATCAAAATTTAAGTGCCTTTTGAAACATTTCCCAAAGATTCCTATTATAACTTCATATGAAATGAAGAAGTCATATTTACATTTCAACCTAGCTACTTCTGTCTCCCACCATGTTAGTCTGATTTAAAATCCCTACCGTCCCCCTCCCCATTTTTTAAACGGATAACTAATTACTCTTCTATAACAATTTTGACACAGAACAGTATATTGAACCAGTCCCTCAAATGTTAGTGTAATTAAAGCCAACATTATACCTCTCCCTTGTTATAATATCTACTACAATTTCAGTCATTTCTAATTATGGGATGGAAAAAATGTTCCTTGGAAAGTGATTATGGGCATCAGAGAAGGGAAATGTTTTGGAGGGCAGAGTATTATTTTCTGGAATACCTGAAATCATACTATTTGGACCACCTATTTGTGGCTGGCCTGGCATGGTTTCTTCTCATATTCTTAAGAAGCCTTGGATAACTGAAAGGGCTGGGCTTGATGGCTTATAAGGACCCTTTTGGCTCTAAAGTAACAGTTCTGAGATACAGAGGAAGGCATCTTCTCCAGCTATACTAGAGAGAGGAAATGATTGCAATTATTGGAGTAGAGGAAATAGGAATAATAGCTGGGAACTCTACTCCACCCTCACCCCATCTGAATAGCGATCTCAGGTTTAAAAGGCTGGGAGATTTTATCCTAACTTATTTCAGAAGAGGATTTATTTGAGCATTTAAAATTTTACATTTTAAGACTTGGGTCCAACCTTTTCATTGTTGCGTTTGTCTTACAGGACTTAGCAGATATACATAAGGATGACCAAGAAGATGACAGCCCATTGTTTCTCACTGGAATAAATTTTTAATGGGTCACTTTTAAGATGATAGTAATAATGATCTGAATAAGTAAATCAAACAAGTAATTTCTTTTAAATGATTGGGTCAGTATTGACTTGACCAGCTTGTTCTCTTGAGAGGAAAAATTACTTACAGCAATGGTTATCCACATTTGTGATCTACATCTAGCACAATAAATAAATTCAGAAAATGTCTAAAGATTTAATTAGCAGCACTAACATATACATCCTTTGAAATGAAGAAAACATTGTTTAGTTGTTTTTCAGTCATGTCTGACTCTTGGTGACCTCTTTTGGGGTTTTCTTGGTAGAGATATTGGAGTGGTTTGCTATTTCCTTCTCCAGCTCATTTTACAGATGAGGAAACTGAGGCAAACAGGATTAAGTGACTTGCCTAGGGTCACATATAGTGTCTTCATCCAGATTTGAACTCAGGCCTTCCTGACTCTAGTCCCAGGGGTCTACCCCTTGTTCCACCTGGTCACCCAGAAGAAAACATTACAATTTTCCAATACCCCCAGTGACAGAGTTTTGAAGACACATTAATCTCTAAAACCTGAGCAAACTAAAAAATCAGAGTTTATCCAAGCTCTCCTAAAGAGATGCCAAAGGCTTTAGAATATGAAACTACTAAGAAAAAAACAATTAAAGGAGAAGAAAAAAAATTACCAGCAATCTCCTTGGTACCTTTCGCCAATGCTGATGATTTTCTTGCTTTTGTAATTTGTACTTATTAGCTAATAAAACTATACTGGCTGGGTTCACTTTTGGTAGTTTGTTTCTAGAACATGAGTTAGATATGTTTCCTTTCAAAACTATTGTTTGTATACACATTTAAAACAATAACAACCTGTTATTTGGCTTTGTAGAAATTTCTTTAATAATCCACTAATTTCAGTATTTCAAAAAAACAATGATTTCCTTACTGTGGGCAGTCATTTTGCTGATACAAATCACACCCCCTTCACACATTATTAGATGGTTTTTCTCAATTGCTATGGAGACCTAACAATTGACTATGTTTACAATCCTAAGACCCAGCCCAGGTAAGTATGGTGAAGATCATCATCAGAAGTTTGGTCCTGAGGTAAGGAGTAGCTCATAATTACTCTTATCTGGATCACATCATAGCTAAAGGGGTAGAATAATTTGTAACATAACAAATAAAAATTTCATAAGCATAAGACACATAATAAGGCTGTCTATTATCTTGATCCTTTTATATCTTGAACATACTTTAACTATGTTAGCAGGGAAGTTTAGAGTTAGAAAGCCAGGAAATATGTAATTTCATTCTAATTTTTGTTCATGAAGATGAAAATATAGATTTCCAAACAGATCTGGTTACCAAAGAATAAGGTATTTCACTGACCAGATGACAGATCCCTCTGGCCTTTCTGGGTTGGGGCAAGACCACCTAGAAGTTATGACTAAAAGCTAAACAAACTAGTGAGGGACAGAAAGTAAATTATTGAGGTACCAGAAGCAAGAGGTTGCCTAAATAGAGTAAAAAGAACAAAATACCTTCACATGGAGGTGTAGGGTAAGTAAAAAGATAGTGTCTTGAACGGTCTATACCTAATCAATGTTTGCTGAAACAAAATGATCAGAAGAGTAGGTCAATAATAGATTGACAAGTAGATCCAAGGGATAAGCAGGAAAAATGGTCTTAAAGTCTAGCTAGAGTTAAACAAACAAACAAACAAAAAAAGACTACTGCCAATAAAGCAGATGTTCAAGTAGATTTCAGCCTGAAAAATTTAAATTCCATTTGTGACTATGAGTGTACAAAGCATTTCTATATTCTTTTGAGCCCAGGTATGTGGTAGCAGCCTTGCTAGCTTTGCTTCTCCGAATGAGCTTCAGCTATGGACAGCTCCCAACCACCACAAGGATTTCACACATGATAGGTCTACATACTACATATTCTGGCATACCCCACCTGATATCATGACATGATTCCATGGAAACCTAACTAGGCAAAACAATGTTACAATAGTTAAGTTTTATAGGAAAAATGCTATAAACGGCAAAAAGCCAAGTGGAGTCACAGCAAGGTTTCATGGGAATATGATTATTACATATTAAAGATGTTAGGGCAAACCTATTCAGGATGTACATTATGTTTCAAGTACATAGAAGAGAGATGCTGAAAGAAAATAAATGCTTAAGACTTAAGTTTTGTAGAAAGAAAACTGCTATAATTTGCAGAAGGGCTTCTTTGACTGAATCTTTCAGAGTTAGTGCTGCAAGACTTCAGAAGCACCAGGAATTGTCTCAGTATACAACTATAATCACTGATTTACATTCTGATTATTTAGGTGACATTCTAATGATCTGAAGCTCTCATTAAAAGAGGGGAAGAAGAGTTGATACAAGAGAAAAAAAGGTTTTCACAATGTTCTAATGCTTGAGGGTGGTCTCCTACTGCCACATAACTTGTGTGTGTAGTTAGGGATCTGAGTTCCAGTGTTTCAACTCAGGGATGACCCTTCATTCCTAGGCCTGGGAATGCAAGAGCAGCTGCATGCTTAGCCACTAGAGGGAGAAAGTGTGCCTCCAGTGACCCCAGAGCCAATGAATCAAAATAATACAATGGACAGCCTTTGAAGGGAGCTAAATCAAACATGAGGTAGCCAGGGGCCAGGACCCCAGTAACATGGCAGCTTTGGGAAATTTTGGATGAATTCTTAAAGACTTCAAGATAGATCCAATCTTATCATGGAATTAATGGCTTAAACTAATCTTATATATGTATTGAATTATCTTGTCTGATCTCTCCTTTCTTCCCCATACATTTTACATATATTTCAGTATGGAAAGTTATGGAAAGTTGTGGAAGGGGATTATTTTGCAGAAAAAGAAAGGAGTTAGACTGCAGGGAAAAGTTACTGACTTTGAGAGTTCTAGAAACCTAGATTTTTTTTTAAACCAAAAGGATAATGTAGAACAGCCTTCTTTGCACATTTGCATATTATTCAGAGGAATTTCTTCCTGCTTTTCTGGAGTGTAGTTCAAGTTTGGTCCAAGGGAATAGATTAGATGGATTGCAAGGTCCTCATTCTACCTTTCACAATATGATTCTAAGATAACTTATTTTTATGTAGGTTATAGTAGAAAAGTGCTAAAATCTGTCTTACCACCATAAAACTGAGAGGAACTAGTTTCCTTAAAACCACAGTAATTTAAAATCATACACAAAGCTGCTGAACTCCTAAACTCAAATCATTTGCTTTTCCAATAGAAATCATTTTGTCTTTACTATGGTGTTTCCTTAATAAATACAGCATCTAATCTTCAGGAAGTGAAGTGAACTCCCCAAACTTGAAGAATTTCAGAATTTATATTCAGTACTGTATATAGCATGTTTGGGAACCCCTTTAAAAATCAACCCCAGTGGAAAACTATTAACATGAGGGGGAAAAGGAATTCAAGGGAAAGGACAACTACTAAAATTGCAATGCTACAAATAATTCACGTTTTTCTTTCAATTATATTGTCTCTTATTCCATAGCACAGAAAATTGAACTTTTCTGGAATTCTTGACACAGCCTGGTATTCCTACTCCCTCAACATTGATTTTCTTCACAATCTGTGATAAGGCTTCTCAGAAGTACTGCTTGGCAGGACTGATAATTTCTTCTGTTTTAAAATCTAAGACTACACTGTACAGTATTTTCCGTTCCTTTCAATTTCCTTCTTCCTTTAATTATACAATGATTACATCCCCTCTGTTTACAAATGTGGTCTGGAAAAAGACTAAATGCTACTATTTGTAGAAAGCACATTTTGCTCTTGTGATTCAAAGTTCTCACCAAGGAAACAGGCTTTTCCTTACATGTTCCTTGGAGAATATGGGGTTTGTAGTTGTCAATGAACAAAACTCTTCTGTCACAACTCTCTCTCTCTGATTTTGTTGTTGTTCACAACTGAAAAGCAAACAAACGCTATACTTGCAAGGTGAAAGAATGAAAAAGTAGTAACTAGGCTACATTTCAGACCAAACTCTTTTCTGCTCTCACTTCTGTTAGTGATAATAAACTTACTTGTGCGCCCCGGCTTGAATTTTTGTTTTCTGAAATTTGAAGGAACTTTATTTTCCAGATAACCTGAACAATACACACACATGTTAATACCTCTGAACATATACTACAACACACTACACATTTGGAGGCATCCTGACTTAGTGAATCGGAGGCTGGCCTTAGGGTCAGGAAGACCTGGACTGAAATCCTGCCTCTGACACAATACTGGCTACTTGACCATAGGCAAGACATTTAACCTCTCCGTGCCCCTAGGCAACTCTCTGAGACACTAAAGTTACAGATAAATTCCTATTATGCATCCGGTGGAGGGAGTTCCCACGATGAAAGTTCTCCAAGCTAATGATATCACGGGGGCAGGGGTGGTGTGGTGGAAGAGGGGGTGAAGGGACACACACAAAACGAGACATAAAAAGAAAAAATACAAAGTGTCTTATTTCGCACATACATACACAAAGATTTTTTAAAAAAAATCCTTGACTTGTAATAGCTAGTCCACCATGTTCCTATCAGTTCCTTAAAAGAAAAAAATAATTTTCAAAAATCCTTATATGTTAACTGATTCATAAATCTGAGGTGCAAAAGCAACTTCACAGGCGGCAGAAAGGAACCTCACATCCTTTTAATACTTCTCTTTCTCTGCTGGAGGAGGACTTGAGCTTCTGAGTTTGGGGGTGGGGTGTAGTGGGCGGAGTGACCATCCATACTTTAAGACCTGATCGGCCGTGTTCCCCCTCCCAAGCCAGGGTAGAAATCGGGGTGTTTGCGGGGGAGTAATGCGATGTGAGGGGGCAGGGACGGGGGAATGCTTCTGGTGGATGAAGTCCCGTTTGAGCTCCATCAATTAGAATGAGTGTGTGTGTGAGTGTGAGTGTGTGTATATGTGTTACAGAACAGCACAAGCAGCACTTGTCCTGTAATCGATTGCCGAGTGTGCTGAGCGGCCCCGAGCGCAAAGACACACACACACACACACACACACAGATACCCACTCACCGGGGGCGCGCGCGCACTCTCTCCTTCTCGCTCTCTTTTTCACATACACACAGACACACTCACGCACGCACGCACCCTCGCGCTCGCAGCTCCTGCCCGCCTGCCCTCCTCTTCTCTCCAGCACTCCCCTCCCCTCTCCTCCCCGTCCTTCCCCTCCTTCCCGGTGCCCGCCCGCTCGCCCGCCCCGCGCGTCCAGCCGGCGCTGGGGGAGATGGGCTCGGGCTTGGCAGCCGGATCGGTTTCTCGGGGTTTGACCAGCTGTCCCGGGCTCACCCTGCTCCTCGCTGAAGATGGAGGAAGTAAAAACAGGATTACCCTCCGCTCCAGAGCCACTGCCTTAGTTTCCACAGCCCACCGCAGTGCCCCAACACACACTGGCCACCCAGGGACAGCCCGAGAGAGACCCACACAGAGACACGAGAGACCCAGGCAGAGAGAGACACACAGAGAGAGGGAGGAGAGGACCCACTCACAGTAAACACAAACAAAAGGGGGATGGGATTGCCTCCCTGCGTGTCCTGCTGAGGTAAATCTCGCTCGGCGCTGGCTGGCATGGTGGAGAGAGCAAGGAGGAGGAGGAGGAGGAGGCGAAGAAGGAGGAGGAGGAGGAGGAGGAGGCGGCGGCGGCTCGGCTGGATCTGCCCTCACCCGGCCCCGACCGGGGGGCAATGAGCGGAGCCTAAGGCGCGCGGGGGCAGGAGGAGGAGGAGGAGGAGGAGGAGGAGGGTGGCAAAGTTAAGGGTAATTATGCAGCCTCTTCTGCACTCGCCGGCTGCGGGTCCGAGGACTTGTTGCTGTTGGCCAGCGATGAGGAGGAGGAGGAAGAAGAGGATGGGGGAAGGGGGGGATGAGGCAGGGGGAGGGGAGGAGAGGCTGATTAGAGATCATAATAACAACAATAATACTCCATTTGCTGGGAAGGAGGGAGGGATGCTGGTCGGGAGCCCGGCTGGGATGGCTCCCAGGGGCTCGCGGGGGATCGGATGGGAGATGCCTTCCTCTCGGTTTTAATTCCTCCCCTCGGATGGTCTGTTTCTGGGATGTTAATCGATTAATCAGTTCTCCTCTTCGACTGATGTCACGGATTGGTGGTGGTTGTTGGTTGGCGTCTGCTCGGTGTTCACTTGAATTTTGCAGCGTGTGTGTTTGTGTGTGTGTGTGTGTATGGGGGGGTTGCCTCGGATAAACTGCAGTCTTGCTAGAAGGGAAAAGCCTGTTGGAATTTATTTTAAAAAATACACACACATAACAACAACAGCCAACAACCACCTGGCATGACACATGTAAAATGCAGCAGCTAAATCACTTTGACAGGTTCTAGTGTCTGAGCGAGAGAAAGAGATGGAATTAAGATTTCTCTGTGTATGTATGTGTGTGTGTGAAAATTTTACCAAGGGCCAAAAAAACAGTCCTGTGAAGTTGGCCTAGGTCTCTTGCTAGGTTTTGCCTGACTGTCCCTCCCCCCTCCTCCGTCCCTCCCCCCCCCTTTTCTTTCAGTTTTCTTGTCTTAGCTTTTGGTCGATTCTTAAGGAACCGGTGGATCAAGTTTTTTCTCTTCTTGTTAATCGCATTGCTGTAGCACTGACTGACCTCTCTCCCTCCCTCCCTCCCTCTCTCTTTTTTTTTCCTCTTTCCTGAAAGTACATGGTGCCATTCCTGAGTGACTTTTCCTACTAGACCATCCCAAAGGGAGGGGGAGGGGTAGGAGGAGAAGGAGGAGGAGGAGGAGAAGGGGGGGTGTTCCTTCTCTCTCATTTCTTCATTTTGTTTATCAGACGATCTGTTTGCTTGATTTGGGCTCCGAATGACCCACCTGTAAAGTGCCTTCCCTTCTTCCTCGCCTTGAACTCTGCAGGGGGCTTGGCTTGGAGGGGGGTAAGGGGCAGTGGGGGGAGGGGGACAAGAAACTTCTTTCTTTCTCCGTTTATCTTTACTCCGACATTGTCATCTCTTCCTTAAGGAGTTAGAAGAAGCTGAGATCTCCCGACAGAGCTGGAAATGGTGATGAATCTTTTTTAGTCAAAGGACAATTTCTTTTGTATGTACATTTCGTTCCTGTGCCTTTCCTTTTCTTTTCTTTTCTTTCTTTCCCTGAGGGTTAACTATTTCACTGATGGGGGAGACTTTCCTGTTCCCCCTGACATTTCTAGCTTTTTAATATATGTGTGCCGGCTGTGTACTTTTTGAAAAGATAAACTTACGTATTTGTAAAAGATCTGAAGAACCTGCTCCTCCTTTAAACTTTATAGATCACTTTCTTTAAATGCCTTATGTAATCAGTTATTTCAAAGAATTTGATAACAGCACTGCAGGTTGAAATACGTACTGAGCTGAGAATTTGATCTGACTATACCATAAAGAAAGAAAAGTTTTTTTGGGGGGAGGAATTGAAGGGAGGGGGGGAGGGAAGTGGTTTTGGAGACAAGAAGTGAAGCTGCCTGTTTTCCAGTAAGTAATGGAGAAATTCCAGGAGCCAGGGCTAAATATACTTGGCGATCAATACAGAAATGGCTCATTGTGAATAATTTAGCTGCTGGTGCAGTGAGAGTTTTGAAACTAAAGGCAAAAAGGACCGGAGCCAAAAGGAGAAAAAAAAAGTAAAATTCTCCTATGGACATGTCAGTTCTTTAAACTTTTCCCATCAAAGAATACAGTTAGATTATTGACCTCTTGTTTTCTTTATGTGAAATAAAAGCTAGGGGGTGTCATCTCGCACAATTTTTTGTATTTCTGGAGCAGAAGACTTTGTTTTATGTTTGTAGCATATGAAAACAATCCCAAAACTTTTTTTTTAAATGACCAAAGGCCACAATATGTTATGAATACTAAAAATTTAAAATTTATTAGATATAGCATTCAAATCCACGATCTTTCAGGAAATTAATATTACAGCGCACAGGTGCTCGGACAGATCAAGGGGCGGGCTGGAATGTCAATGCAAGTGAGAGAGTTGGAAAAGTGCTGCACAAATCTGTGAGACAGACTTGAGCACCAAGGTTTTTGTTTTGTTTTGCTTTGTTTGTGTCTCACACCCCACTCCCCCTCTTGATTAGAACATGATGAACCAACTTGCAACAATTGTGAATGGAGCTATCTGTTAACTCGGTCGTCCTCAAACCATAATTTGATTGTGGGAACTAATAAATATTAATATACCTAAATCCTAGTAAAAACTGGCATGATTGAAGTGTGACTCTCCCAATTAAATTCATTAAACTAGGTGAAACATTCTGACTTAAGGAGGCATTCTTGCCTTGCTACAGCTCATCTAGATGCACACTTATCTTCTCTGCGCTATCTCTAGCAGGAATCAGATCATTTGCAGAAAGAGTTCAGTGACTTGCAAATGAGCACATACAGTACACAGTAGTATGTGTCTTGGGCACAGGTTGTTGCAGTAGACCCAGCAGCAGAACAGCAATATGGGCTAACTGCTTAGAGCTTCAAAAGTTCAGCATTTAATGGCAGATAGTGAAAGGAATCATTGTTTTAAGGGTTTACCCTTTTGTTTTGTAGCACTGCACTTTGACTATGGAAACAGAGGCTATTGATGGCTATATAACATGTAAGTACTCATTTTCATTAACTTATTAATTATTAATCACAATCACTGATTATCCTATAAATTTGTTTAATTCAGTTAGGTATCATTTATAGATCAGGGATCTTAATTTTATTTTCTATCTGTTCACAATTTCATATTGAAGAGAAGTCCAGGAAAGCAAAAAACAATCAAAAAAAACCGCTTAAACTTTAGGCAAGAGCAGAAAAGGGTAAAGATAGACATTTATTTGGTAGTATGGGGAACTCATTTAGATAACTAGTATGGTACACTCAACATCTTTATACTATAATTTTTTTCTTTTTATTTAAAGTTTAGGAGACAACAGATTATATGTGTTTACTAGAAATTTTCTGTGGACTGAAATCTTTTTTTCCCTAACTTTTTTCCAGTCATTTAATGTGGAAAGTATTTAATTCTCTTTTAGTGCTTTGACAAGTGGCGTCTTGGAATTGCTTATTGTAAACAGTGTGATATTTAGTGATTTAACCAGGGAGTCTTAGAGCTCTTCTTTGCTGATCCTTTAAGTTTATAGATGAGAAATTATATTGTGTGCCTTTTACTATGGCTTTTAGAAATTTATGGTATTTTCAATCCACCCCCTCCATGATGTCTCTTCTTGACTTTCTGTGAATCTAATTGTCTTCTTTTGGAAAAAAAAATACTGTGTTTAAATTTAGAAGCTATGATACTTCAGTATCCATGAGCAAAAGTTGCAAAATTGAAATGTTATAATTGGATTCTATATGTCAAGTGAACAGAGTCTGAAAGATTTTATTTTTGAAAGCAGGTGACAATGAGCTTTCACCTGAAAGGGAACACTCCAATATGGCAATTGACCTCACCTCAAGCACACCCAATGGACAGCATACCTCACCAAGTCACATGACAAGCAGTAAGTCTTCTTTTTTATGATTTTTTTTCCCCATTTCTCTAGTGGCAGATTTGGATTCGTTGGGTTTGTGGGGTACGTTTTCTGGCTGTGGTGCAGCTGCTGCTATAGATTTTGCTAACTGAAGAAAAGAGCAACACAGATTTATTCCTGTTCATACTAGTATCATATCTTAAACATGAGCTTGCTTACTAGTTTGAACTATCCCGAGGTGGCTTTTGGGAACTGGTGCTTACCTGTGTCAGGTAAGAAATACTAGGATTGACTCGTAATTGGTTGGCTTTACACACTTATAGGATTAGATGTTGTTGTTGTTGTTGCTGTTGTTAAGTAAAAGGAAAAATGAAACAAAATTTCCAAAATGTTTTTTTCTAGTTAAAATTAAGTGCATGTTATATTGCTTTGTCATAAATGTGTTATTAGTGGAGAGTGTTAGCCTGTTACCCCTGTGTGTGTACATGTGTGGGTATCCATATACCTATATATATATGGTACCTATGTGTATATACATATACATATATGTATGTGTGTATATGAGTGTGTGTGTATATATGTGTGTATATATGTGTGTGTGTGTGTGTGTGTGTGTATATATATATATATATATAAAATCTCCCTCTATCTAGCCATATCTTTTTGAAAGTTCTTTCTACAAAGCCTTGAAAGTGGATCATAAATGAAAATATATAGTGCTTACTTAACATTCATTTCTTTAATAAAGTGAAAGGGTTTTGTTTTAGATTGTCAAGAGAAGAGCTAGGGAAGTATAAGAGGATGTATTGGGGTAGCACTAATGGCCGGTTTTAGCTAATATTTTTGATAAAGGGTCATTCACACTCATACTGTCTTAAGTACTTTTGGAAACTGTGCAAAGATTAGTTTGCTTGCATTCATTTTCAAAGGACAACATGCTTTTATTTATTAAGAGCGTGGTTTGTTTCTTGATTCTGTTTTATCAATGTACTTATCAAGGGCAAGTGCTCTATTACTTAGATTCAAAGAATCTATTTTGTTTCCATATGCTTTCAGTATGTGTTGTCTCCTTTTCTAGGAAGGACACTTTTTTTGTAGATAGAAAAAGTTGTATACTTATGCAGAATTTGAAGGCATTGATTTCATAGAAAAATTTAACTTATTAATCTGCTGATGCATAAACATATTTGTACATTTCTTAATGTCAAAATGAGTGTAACTGTTCCACACTTTATTCTTCCAGTTTTCAAAAATAACTTAGATTATTGGAAGCCTCTAAGATCCATGAGGTTTTTTTTAACCCTCAGTAGTGTATATGTTGTGATAATATAAAGAATATACTGGATTGGATGCATGTTCTTGTCTCATGTATTTTGCTTTAAATATTTTAACTGCTGTTTTGTAATTTTTATGTATTTATTGTGAGCTTATAGCTTGAAATTAATTTTTTTTACTAATTAGAGAAACTTCATAGAAGAATCCAGTTATAAAGGGTATTTTAAATTCTCTGTCATATATCAACAAGCCAGTTCTAGTAAATGAATAGACAAGTTTGTGCTAACTTCAGTTGCAATACAAATAACACATTTTAGCAGGTTTTATTTGGTCTTGATCAATTATGAATTTGGGAAAATAAATTTATACTCGAAAGCCTTAGTTTTCTTATCTGTAAAATGTGAGGGCTTCTCTTCTACCTCTAATATTATTCTACGATAGCAAAGAATGCTTTACATTCTCATTATTATACTGTGGATGAGTCTTATAGGAGTAGATTTTGTCTTCATAACTTTTTTTAATCATATGCACATTTCCCTCAAGGAATAAAAGGTAAATATTTATGTCAAAATTGCCATAGTTAACTGTTTAGCCTCTTGGTTTCAAAAAGACTATAAATTTGGATAGATGTTAGCTGTTGGTTGGAGACTCTGGTCGAATTTGGGCCAGCTAGTGGTTGGGATCCACAACCACTGGCTGAATTTCAACTGTGAATTTGTTGTTTAATGCGATTGGTCCCTTCAGTTTTGAATTTCATTTCAGCCTGACATATGCCTAGTTCAAACAGGCATTTTACCTGTCTCTTTTAAGTAAACAGTGCAGAGACCAGACATGATGATTTGAACAAATGAGAGCTGTGCTATTGAAACATTCCAGGTCTTCTCACCCAACGACAGTAAAATTATGTGTTTGGTAAGGAGATTTTTATTTATTAGCCTGTGGCAATTCCATGTTAGTAGAGTTTTTGGCTAGGTCACTGATGTTTTGGGGTTTTATTCCAAAGGGTTGCAGGTTAAAAATGTTGGCTCTCACTTCAGAGATGTCTGTTGCATCCTTTATATAGCCTCTATTTACAGTATCTAGGTTACCCACTTAGGTGTTAGATGGAGGAGATACCCATTTTTTCCCTTGTGTTAGACTTAAGAGAATAATCAGCATTTTAAATTGTCAAGGCACATGGTAGCAGAGGGCTACAGTGTAGCCTTTCAACTAGAACGGAAAATTTAAAATTGGTAGTTCTAGTGGTTTTGATCATTTTTGCAGGTGATTCGATCCTTGACTTTATATGAAAGCACTTATATTTTGGATCTGGAGTTTCCCCAAATCTTTTCATAGTGTACATCTGGATTGCTAATTGTTATTGAATAACAATACCTTCTGATTTCTAAAATGCATTTTAGCTCTTCAGCATATTTCTTTATGGCCAACTACTTTCAAGGATTTAATTATAATTTTGTAAGAAAACAACAGAATAAGTAAAAGAATTATTTCATCCAAATTCTTATGGAATAAAACTTTCTCTAGAAGTGGCATAGCCAACAGAAAACTACAATTCAGAGTAAGAAAAAAAGAAATATTTAAAAATAGTCAAGAGGTAATTAAAGAATCCAATTCAGTAATTTTAATGAAATAACTATGAAGTTATTGTGTTAAAGTAGTCAAGGCACGATAGTATCACAGTTATATCTTAGTAAAAGTGGTCAGTGTTACCATAAGGTCACCAAGATTCATTTGTTTTTTGTGTCTACTCTTAAGATGAGGGGTGAATATAACTTGCTGCTAGCTATTGAATTTTTAAAAAAATAGTCCAACTCTCATTATTTGACAATGCTAGAAGAGAGAACAATTGAGTGGAGAGAAGTGGAAGTGCTCTAATTTCCCCACACCTTTTGTATTTAAAGTACAGCTTAGAAAAAATTCTAAAAATAATATTAGTGACTTTCACATTCAACAATTAACATTTTCTTGTTTCAACATTATTTTTCTTAGTATCAGGAAAATCTCTTCGAGAACAAAAAAAATTCTTTGATAGATAGATAGATAGGTACAGTTGCCCGAGATCATTAGTGTATACGTACTGAGTTTTCTGACACTCTTCAGTGTCATGGATGACAGTATATATTACTTTATGGCTACTGAAAATACATGAATATCATCTGGAAATTTGAATCTGAGACAGAAGTCAGCCAGAACCTTATAAAAATAATCCCTATTGTTTTTGCCCATTGGAAGTGTATTCCGTCTTGTTTCTGTGTAAAAGTCTTAAAATTCTGCATAGTAACTTCTGATTTAATATTAAGCTGTCCAGTTGGGTTACTTAGAAAGTTTTACAGATACTAAAGATTGTGGTTAATCTTCTTTCTCATCCTCCTCTATTTTTCAAGTCAACTGTATATAAGCCTTCTTTATTGATATTTAGATTTTATTAAAATAGATACAACATTTGGAAAGTTGCTTTATTTTCTCATTTTAAAACCTTTCTGTGGGTGAACAACTCCCACTATTATTCATCATATACCTTAATAGCCATATGATATCAGAAAAAGTCGTTCTCATTTCATAACTATTTACCAATAATCAGATCAGTGGATGGAGTTTTACTTTTACAAAATGCTTCACATTCATTTTTCTTAGCTAGTTCTTGTTAGAACCTAGGATTTTGTCTCTCTGTCTCTGTCTGTCTCTGCCCCCCCCCTCTCTCTCTCTCTCTCTGTCTCTCTGTGTGTTTTCTTTTTCACATATAGGGAAAGAGGCCTAAAGAAATTAAATGACCTAACCTATGACATCCAGTTGCTGAAGGAAATTGCCAAAATTAAAACTTAAAACTTCAGTTATTTTTTTGTTGCTTTTGACCATTGTCTCTCACAATTATTACCTCAAATTTCTTCCTGTGTCCAATACTTATACACTTTTAAATAATGGACATCTAATGAAGGTACTGTGATATTATTAGATTATCCTGTTACGTTTTTAATCTAATGTATTTGTTTTTTACATTGACAGTAGGTTTTGTTTATTCAACAATTTCCTTTTTTTCTAAAATTTTTTTAACATTTTAAAGTTTTAAGTTCCAAATTCTATCCCTCCCTCCTTCTCCTGCCTCTTCCCTTAGATGGTAAACAATCAGATATAGGTTATACATGTGCAATTATGTAAAACATTTCCATATTAGTCATTTTGTACAAGAAGACTTGCATAAAAGAAAAAAAATGAAAGGAAGAAAATGAAAAATAGTGTGCTTCAGTTTGCTTTCAGTCAGTATCAGTTCTTTCTCTGGAGGCAAATAGTATGCTTCATCATTAGTCCTTTGGGAGTGTCTTGGATCTTTGCATCGCTGAGGATAGCTAAGTCATTCACAGTTCATCAAATAATATTGCTGTTAATTGTGTATAGCCTTCTCCTGGTTCTGTTCACTTCACTATGCATCATGTAAGTCTTTCCAAGTTTTTCTGAAATCATCCTGCTTGTCATTTTTTATAGCACAATAATGTTCCATTACAATCATATACCACAACTTGTTTAACCATTCATCAATTAGTGGGTATCTCTTTGATTTCCATTTCTTAGCTGCTATAAATATTTTTGTACGAATAGGTCTTTTTTCCCTTCTTTCAGATGTCTTTGGGATATAGACCCAGCAGTTGTATTGCTGGATCAAAGGGTGTGCACAGTTTTATGGCCCTTTGGGATCTAATGTCCTTTTGTAAGACTAGTTTATATTATGAGACTCACCCAATTTTCTGAATCTCTTTCTG